ATCTTCAGCAATCGTGTTGGGAAGGTTGTGAACTAAATGCCAACAAAGATTATCACTTTAAGGTGTATAATGATGAAAATGAGCACCAGTTATCTTTAAGAATAGTCAGTTTAGGTGCTGGTGCTGATGCCGTGGTTTCTTGAGCAGGGAGAATGAACATGGAATAAACAGACATACACACACAGGGAGAGACAGTACAGGGCTGCAACACAAAATAGACACAGACAGACACGGTACAAACTGCAGCTTTGACAGCCCGCAGTGCTTTCTTTTAAGTACTACATACTGGCAGTGTTCCCAGATAAGTTTGCTATTCCCACGCCTGAATTTCTCATGGCCTTGAGAGTGAGTTCCCTATCTCTGCCCATACCGTTTTTGTTTACATACTACCAGGGAAACACTGTTTGCAGCTGCTTCCACAAATTCCTTACCGTTTGCAGTGCCGAAGCAGTTTATGAGAACCAACTAGGACAGACGTTTGCGCACTGTCCTAGACAGGTACATGACACGAGACACAGTGCTCCTCTCGTGGCTCCTTCAGGTGCAAAGGATGAACTGCATATTGTTGAAGCAGAAGCAATGAATTATGAAGGCAACCCAATTAAAGTCACACTGGAAACTTTGAACATGTCTGTACAGCCAACGGTCTCCCTTGGGGGCTTTGAACTAACACCACCAGTGGTCTTAGGGTTGAAATGTGGCTCTGGGCCTGTGCATAGTAGTGGACAGCATTTAGTAGCTGTGGAGGGAGATGCAGAGTCAGATGATGAAGAGGAGGAGGATGTGAAGCTTTTAAGTGTATCAGGAAAGCAGTCTGTCCCCACAAGTGGTAACAAGGTGCCACAGAAAAAGTTAAAACTTGCTCCTGCTGCTGCTGAAGATGAGGAGGAGGACGATGACGACGACGACGATGATGAAACTGAAGGAAAAGCTCCAGTGAAGAAATCTATATGGGATACTCCAGCCAAAAATGCACAAAAATCAAACCAGAATGGAAAAGACTCAGAACCATCAACACCAAGATCCAAAGGTCAAGAATCCTTCAAAAAACAGGAAAAAACTCCCAAAACCCTGAAAGGCCCTAGTTCTGTAGAAGACATTAAAACAAAAATGCAAGCAAGTCTAGAAAAGGGTGGTTCTCTTCTTAAAGTGGAATCCAAATTCACCAATGATGTGAACAATTGCTTCCGGATGACTGACCAGAAGGCTGTTCAAGATCTCTGACAGTGGAGGAAATCGCTTTAAGAAAATAGTTTGAACAGTTTGTTAAAATTTTCTGTCTTATTTCATTTCTGTAACAGTTGCTATCTGGCCGTCCTTTTTTATAATGCAGAGTGAGAACTTTCCCTACCATGTCTGATAAATGTCCAGGTTCCTTTGCCAACAATGTGTTGTCTAGCCTGTTTAGTTTGTAAAGATGGAACTCCACCCTTTGCTTGGTTCTAAGTATGTATGGACTGTTATGATAGGACAGAGTAGTAACAGTGGTCAAACAAATGGAAATGGTGCGGAGACAAAAATATACATGTGAAATAAAACTCAGTATTTTAATAAAGTAAAAAAAAAGATTCCTCTTCTTCCCCTTCTGTTTTTACAATGCAAATATTAAAGCACTGCTGGCAATCTCAGTTAACTTGCTTGGTTTAGAACCAGTAAAACTACTAGTTAGATAGCCTTCATTGTTATGTAAATTTTGGCTGCCAGCTCTCAGAGAATTAAGAGAGCTAACTAACTCAGGATGATTTGAAAGACTGAAAAATATCTTAATAAATTTGTCCAGCTGTTCTTGAAGGAACTTACCAAACAGACATTTTTCTCTAAGTTTACCAGTAAGGTTACAGGCTCAATTAAGCCATATTGCTCTTCAGGCTTATTACACTGTAGGATTTTACCTTCTTGCAATATTCTGTCTTGATTAAGTTCACTCATTCCTTCCATGCTACATTCACAGGAAGTTAATGGGCGGGTTGTAGGCCCTCCTGAATACTCCAAGGAAATGACCCCAAATCCAGATGTGCAAGACCCTTTCCCTTCAATGTCTAATTCCATGTGGGGGTGCTGTTGTTTCCCCACAACAGCATTCCAAAACACCCCTTCATTTAAAGGGTGATCACACTTCTCAAGTGCTCTTTCCTGATAGTTACAACTTTTAATTCTAGGAATGCAAGGAAGGAAAAATTGGCGTAAGCGATCATTTTTCTTTATAAACCATGGTATATCAGATTTTATAACTGCCTTAACTTCTTCATAATCTTGACCAATAATTCCAGCAACAATCTGAACACCTCGAGAATTTAGGTTGGACTTTCCTAATAAACATCCCATAGTTCTTTTAAGTAGTGGACCCCAATTGCCGCTCTTAGTAATTTCTGATATAATCACAGCTTTTGGTTTTTCCTCACAATTCTGATCAACTCCAGCATCATTTTTAATTCCTTGACTATTTAGGTTAAATCTTCCTGACAGAAACTGCATTGCTCTTTCAATAAGAGGATCCTGCTTTTTAGAATCAATAGGCTGCTTCAAGGGCTTCTGAGTCAGTTCTTGGTTAGTCAAGCTTATTGTAGCCAGAACAGGGGCTGCGGTTTTGTGAATTGGGTTAGGTTTGGACTCCTGCTGTGATGGGTGATACCTGAAATTTCTCTCTAAGATCTTCTTTGCTCTGGCAGGCAGACACCTTGCCTCTCATCCTTTGTTGGGCGGGATCTGTATCAAGCTCCTTCCACTATTTTCCTGCTGGGAAGCCTTTGCTAATGGCAATCCTTTACTGTTGAATCTTGAGTGACATTGACTCACCCAATGAATTCCCTTCCTGTAGGGTGGGCAAACTCCTGGGTCTTTTGAACCCGATCTCGATGGCCTTGGCCCATGCTCTGACGCAGGCTGTAGCTAGCTCTCAGTGGCCAGGCTGACTTGCCAGAGCTGTTACATTCTCTTTGAAGATGACCTGTCTTTCCACAACTAAAGCACATTCTCCTAGGTTTGGTGTAATTTACCAAGGCAGATGCCATGAGGTTGGCCTTGTATTCATCTTTCTCTACATTCCTGCATATTCTGAGATTATCCAACAGTGTGCCCTTTTCCCTGTAGGGATGCAAAGCATTTTTACAGTGTTTATTAGAGAAATCATAAGATAGCTTATGCAGTAGGTCTCTTACTGCCTGGACATTTTTTACACATTTGGAAATAGCATCTTCCAGTCAGGACACAAAGTCAGCATAGGATTCATCATTCCGCTGTCTTATAGCTGTGTAACTCGGCTTTCTCTCTTCTGATGGTATTATCTTTTCCCAGGTCCTTAAGCAAACCTCACGTATCTGTCCTATTGTCTGTTCAGTAAACTGTAGTTGAGACTCAACTGTGATATAATTCTCATGCTCTAGCAATTGATGAATTCCTATATCTATGCCCTCTTCTGCATTTTTGCTCATGCAAGTGCTGTTTTCTTCCACAGCATTTGATATTCAAAGATTCTGAAGAGTAAAGACAAATTTTTGCTAAAGCTCTCCAGTCTGCAGGTGTCCAGCTCTCAGACTCAGATAAAGCCCTTATCATGCTAATTATAAAATGCGAGTCTGGGCCATAGTCATTGACTGCTTGCTTGAGATCTTTTAGTAACTGAAAGGGAAAAGCACTGTGAATTCCTTGTGGGTGTTCCCCGTAAGGCTGTCTGCTAACAACTCTAACAGGATAAGACATTCTGAATTCTAAATCTCCTTCTTCTGCAATCCCACTTTCTACCCTTGAAAGTAAAGGTGCTTTCCTATACTTTACTTCTTTGCTTTTATTCTCTGAGCTGGTCTTCTGAACCTGTATATCTTGAAGCTCCACTTCCCTAACTTCATCTTCTGTGTAGCTCTCCTAGTTTGCATTTTTTGGTAGCTAATCTCGCTACATCCAGCACCGGCTTGCTTCATTGTTTTACAATCTCTGGTCTTTCTTACACCAAATTCCAGCAGGGGAACAGATGCTTTTACTGTGATGGCCCCTCCTGAATCAGGCTTAGTTTTCTCAGCTCTGTCTAAAATCTTCTGATCAGCCTGATATTCTGCCTACCTCTCACCTGATTTACGTTTGGGTATCTTAGAAGCTTCTCACTAACTTGCTGGTCTTGTTCCTCTGCTTTCCCTACCTTTGAAAGCAAGGGAGCTTCCTGGGATTGTTTAATAGCCTCACTTTGGGTCTTGGAATCTGCTGCCTCTAGTACTTTACCACTTTTAAATCTTCGGAGGCTGCAGTTCCCCAAGTGAATATAGGTTTTGGCCGAGAGGTTTCTTTTAGAATCGGAGGCCTTAGAAAACAAATCAATCATTGATTTAGTTTTTTTCTAAAGTTTAATCGCCTAATTCATGCTCATTCAAAGACATTTTGGCTTGTTTTTCTAGATTTGAATAGAAACAAGACTTCTCACTACACTGATAATCCTCATTCTCTTCCTCCTGCAAAGGTTCTAAAACCATCTTAACTTGAACCCACAGAGATCATGTCTCCATGGGGATATTCTCCCCATCTCTGTGTGCTTTCTTTAAGTTTACAATGACCTCCTCCTAGGTTTCTAGATCAAAAGTTCCTTCATCTGGGAACCATGGATTATACCGTTTTACTACTTTCAGAAAACATTGCATCTTTTTCTTTGTTACTTTTACACCCTGTCTTTTCAGTAAGCGAATGAGTGTAGTACCATAAGTTTCAGGTTTCCTTTTACCTTGCCCCATTTTCCTCTTAAAAATACTCATTTACTATTTCCGCTACTTATCTGTCAGTCCTCACACTGGATCCTCACTTCACACAATTTTCCGATTCCCTCTGCATTCCAATGGGGCCATACAATTGTTACACAGGATGTAACTCAAAAGAGCTATTTTCATACTGCCATGCGATCAGCGTCATTTGTGGTTGTAAGGGGGTACCAGCCCCCAACCACTAATCCCAGGTTCGATAAGCACAATTGTATGGTTGAGATATATAATTATTATGTTAAAGTCATCGAGAGCATGAGAGATAAAAGAGAGAGAGGAATAACAGAGTCAGACACATTTCATGGTAGCATGCTCACCTCATCCCCACTTGGTGGTCCACGTGGAGAGAGGGGGAAGGGAAGGAGGTCACAGGAAAGGGAACAGGGGACGAGAGGGAGCCAATGAGCAGTCAAGGGAGCAGCCAAGAGAGAGAGAACTCTCTATTGCTAACCCAGGCCTCTATACCTTTGGGGGCGTGCAAGCCCACCAATTACAGATACGTCACAGGAAGGGGCTGCACTATGGGTTATACAGCAATGAGAGGGGGACAATCCAGGGATATACACGTAATAGGAAGAGGAGTGATTAGGGGTATACGTGTGACAAGATGGGCGGATCCTAGATTCAGGATGGTAGCTAACTTTGGATGTAACTGAGCTGGTTTGATCTGTTCTCTGGATCTCCATAGGAACCATTATCAGTAGGGTGTAAACTCCACCTACAGAAACCAAACTAATGGTCGCAAGCCTCAGGGAGAAGTAGCCCATTGTCCCCAGCAGCAGGGAGCAGGCCTACCAGTGGTGGGAGGAGACAGCAGTCTGGCAGCTGATTGCCTCAAGGGAAGTAACTTTTATCATTAGGGGCAAGCAGTGTCCTAAGTCTAACATATTAGGGGGAGAGGACTTGGGAGAAATCTTTCTGTTTCCCACACATATGTACATGCCTTTATTTAGACCTCTATAAATGCCCTTTGCCTCCTAGCTCTTTCCTCCATTTCCTTTTACTTTCCCCTCTTTTCCTACTATCATGTTCAGCCTTCATTTGGATTTCAGTAATTCCTCTCGGTTACATTACCCTTGGTCATGCCCTACTAGGTCCCCTACCCTCTCCTCACCTCTGATTTGGATCACTTGTGAACGTTCATCATTTTGGTTACAAGATGGGCATTTTAACTCTTTGCAATATAAAGGGACTTCTAAAATCGGTTTAATCTCCCTCTAATACATTTCTCCTCAAATCCACTTGGAACATGTAGCATTCAGTGACGGTGTGGGGCAGAAATGAGGACACAGACATGGGAAATGTGGTTTAGCACCTGCGAAGGGCTGACACTCAGTGCTGGGTGTAGCGCTAATGGTCCCCCTGCATGCTCTTTTATTATCTCAGATAGCTAGGGCATGGGTTAGGAAGCACATATGCACTTCCTCAAAGTTAACAAGGAATGAGGGAGGAGACTAAGCACTAGGATCTCATAACAAACTGCTT